TACTAAGTAACATATACATTAGCAGTTGTGGACGTCATTGAATATATTCAGCATATAATTTTTTTTTTTGGCCTGTGTTCTTGGCTCCATTTCTGAAATAATTCTAAATAACAGTTTGAATTCAAACAGACAGAGAAAAAAAATTCAATTATTTCCATTGTTTCTGTCTAGTCAATAAAGGTTCTAATGTGTTTCCTGGTCAACTATTTTGGGCTTTGTTGCATATAGTGTACCAACTTCTTTGGGAATGTGTGGCCTGTACATCCCTTAAAAAAAAAAAACCAACCCCTTTCTTTGGGAATGTGTGGCCTGTACATCACTTTAAAATAACCAACCCCTCTCTGTGGAGTGTGTTTCTGTGTGGCCCTCGTCCAGCTGGAACATCACAGTGTGGTGTGAACCAGCGTCCTCCTCTAACAGGCAGACAACCAGTTGAACAAAAGCCTTACCTGACAAGCAGATGATGCTTCCTTTGTTCCTTTGTGGCAGCACGGTATCCTTTGTTGTCCTGATACCCCTGACTAATCCCGTCCTCGGGGCGACATGAGTACAAACAGGAGAGCGAAAACGCTGTTGTGTTTTTTTAATGTCATTTTTCCAATGATTTTTTTCGTGGAAACCTGAGCTGACGTTTCCACAGAGACGGTTTTATTTTCATGATTTATGTCTTCTTGTTTTGTGCACACGCCCCCTGTGGCTTCCTTTGAGGGATGATTTATTTACATTTAATCTCAGTGGCGTACGTTATATAATATATATTTATCTTGTCCTTAATACATGATGGATGACACGGAGCGAACAACGGCTACATGTCCTGCCTTCAACATCTTTTGTGTGAATAACCACAGGCGTCAATTATCCAGCCTAAATTTCACCAATGTATCAGCGCTTGATTAAAAATGTCACAATTTTAATTAATATTTTCCATTATTATTATCTCTCTCTCTCTCTCTCTCTCTCTCTCTCTCTCTCCTGTCTGACAGGCTGTTATCCTTGTCAAACAGCAGCTCTAAATATATTTGGTTCCTGTTCTTAGCCTGTGCGTATTTTTAGACAGGGTTAGTCCTACATGACACCGCACTCGTTCACTTTCACAGTCAACTGTGACTTTGGGGAGAAAATCCTGGAATATGTCAGTTTGTCTGCCTTTCACTGTGACGACAGGCATCACAGATGGAGGTTACAGGTAAAAAAAAAACAAAAAACAGACGCAGCAGATGGATGCTGCGTCCTAGTAGATGATTGTCAAGGTGAAGATGGCCATTTGCTGCTTGTTGTTCTGTTCTTTTGTTGCCTCAATAAGTGTCAAGACTGACACATTCCTCATCCAAAATTAAAAACAAAAACACAACTTTGTTTTAGTATTTTTGACTGGTGCTGCTTTGCTAACAAAACTGAAGCAGAGGCAAAATGAAAGAAGTATAAGTAGTATATAAGAAAGTATAAAGAGTAGATTTTTCTTAAATTAAATTGAAGTTCAAGTAAGTTAGTGCTTCTTAAACTTTTTTAGTCATTCCACACTTTGAACGAGTGGAGATTTTTTTAAGCCCCACCTGCCTCCGTCGCCCAACGAAAGATTCAACCAATCAAATTTATTGAACTGACACTACACTTTTTGCCGATATCCGATATGCCAATGTTGTCCAATTTTAAGGACGCATTTCATTGTGTGCTGTGTCACAATGACAATGATTCACTTTCACATCAAAACTATTTTTAGGGTCACATCATCTGGATGAAAACCAGGGTTTTCATTATCGGAGGAAAAAATATTAATGATTCTTTCCGACATTATATAATTATGCTAATATTAGATCGGTTGGCCGACATCAAAATCAATAACATCAAATAACACAAAGTTCAAAAAGAGAAAATAAAAGTCATCACATGAACCTTGAAAATTTACTGAAGTATTTCATATTCAGAAAAATACTGCGATATTACACAGCCCTGTTTGTGTAGCAGACCCTAGCGCTCCAGCAGTGAGTGACACACCATTGTGTGACTGGTGTAGACGACTGTTGCACCTTGAACGGATGTTGGGTCTGAAAAGCCCCTCTCTATTGTTTTTCACCATACACTAAAGCAGTGCATAATAGAAGGAAGTGTTTTCCCTGGAGACTCGACATCATCGCCTCAGATCGTCCACACTCACAATGGGTGGAGGAGGCCCTGTGTGAACTCAAAGGTCAGAGGTCACATATCGGCAATTGTCTAGACGTTAACCCCAAACTGATGATATTCAGCTATACGGCGCCACCTCTTGAGCAGGGGTCTCCAACCGCTGGGGCAGGGACCAGTACCAGGCTGTGGTCCATTTTCTTTACAGGATGATTTGCGTGAGAGAGACTTGGAGATGGTCGGTGTAAAAGATGAAATTGAAGTTCAAGTAAGTTAGTGCTTCTTAAACTTTTTTAGTCATTCCACACTTTGAACGAGTGGAGATTTTTTTAAGCCCCACCTGCCTCCGTCGCCCAACAAAAGATCCACCAATCAAATTTATTGAACTGACACTACACTTTTTGCCGATATCCGATATGCCAATGTTGTCCAATTTTAAGGACGCATTTCATTGTGTGCTGTGTCACAATGACAATGATTCACTTTCACATCAAAACTATTTTTAGGGTCACATCATCTGGATGAAAACCAGGGTTTTCATTATCGGAGGAAAAAATATTAATGATTCTTTCCGACATTATATAATTATGCTAATATTAGATCGGTTGGCCGACATCAAAATCAATAACATCAAATAACACAAAGTTCAAAAAGAGAAAATAAAAGTCATCACATGAACCTTGAAAATTTACTGAAGTATTTCATATTCAGAAAAATACTGCGATATTACACAGCCCTGTTTGTGTAGCAGACCCTAGCGCTCCAGCAGTGAGTGACACACCATTGTGTGACTGGTGTAGACGACTGTTGCACCTTGAACGGATGTTGGGTCTGAAAAGCCCCTCTCTATTGTTTTTCACCATACACTAAAGCAGTGCATAATAGAAGGAAGTGTTTTCCCTGGAGACTCGACATCATCGCCTCAGATCGTCCACACTCACAATGGGTGGAGGAGGCCCTGTGTGAACTCAAAGGTCAGAGGTCACATATCGGCAATTGTCTAGACGTTAACCCCAAACTGATGATATTCAGCTATACGGCGCCACCTCTTGAGCAGGGGTCTCCAACCGCTGGGGCAGGGACCAGTACCAGGCTGTGGTCCATTTTCTTTACAGGATGATTTGCGTGAGAGAGACTTGGAGATGGTCGGTGTAAAAGATGAGGAGGCGGGGTATAGAGCAGCATAGAGGCACGTGATCTACTGTGACGCCCCCTATAGGGAACAACAAACCCTAACAAGGACCAATTTACATGGTATTTTATTTTGAAAACCTATCATTTTTACCTGCTCCTCTTTTCCGTGAATGGAGTTGTGGGTTCAATTTCAGATTTCAGACATACTGAGTTATAGACCAGCCCCGTCATAGGTGGGCACGACCTGTAGTGCGTTTTCATTGGTCATCGGGACCAGAAGAGTGCTTCGTACTGTAAGTACAGACCATTTAATCTAACTAAAGCAGAAATAAAAATTAAAAAACAAACATTGCTGAAAAGCTTTGCCAAAACTGCCACCAAAAACAAAACTGTATTTAAAAGAAAATACCAAGAATCCTATAAAAACTATATGAAGTCAAATTCCCATAAAAAAGATGAAATTGTGTTTCACTGTGCACATCTTGACCTCTGCTCAAACACCCCACCACTGGTCAAATGGGTAATTGTCCTGCGTTGTCCACAGTGGTGCAAAAAACTCTTAAATAAATGGGACCAGAGTGAAACCAAAGATGGACGAGTGTTACTGTAGAAATGCTGTGTTGTTGTTTTATGAACCATATATTGAAACACCTCGGTGACCTCACGTTGTAGTTATTGTTGTGATGAAACATTTCCTGCTTCTATATCAGAAATACTCTCCTACATCACGTGGTCTCGTGCAGTTCTGCAGCTTCTTAGATGAATCCCTCCTTGGAACATGTCCATTTTCATAATCATCGACTTGGAATCAGGACATGTGCGGCTTCAGCCCAATTGAAATTGTATTTCTCGCCCCTCATCCAGAAATGACTCAGTGTTTTTTTCACATGTAAAGGTTAAAGTCAGTCACATGAGCGTCTGTTTCAGGAAATTGAACAGATGCTTTTTTCTTTTTTGTTTTTTCTTTCCCACCCCACAGTGAGATCTTGTCATTTCGGGAAGTCATTAAATCTGAGTCAATCCCAGCTACTGTTCGTCTCCACTGAAGGAAACCACAACCTCAAATGACACTTTTCACAAGAATGAGCATTCTTGTCTGTCACTATCTGGAGGCCTTAAAAAGCCACTCCAGAATGTGAAGGCTGAAACTCACAAACACAGAGCAGACCCTCCACCATGTGTTACCAGCTGTGACCAGTATCTACTTCAGGTTCAACACTGGGTTCCTGTAATACAATGGCCCATTATTATGAGTCTCCCTCACACACACACACACATACACACATACAATGGGGCAGCTTCGGGCCACCAGATTAGTGGAGATTGACCCCTTCTCCACCCCGGAGCAACTTCCCTTCCTCTCACAGCCAATCAAAATCCAGGCTGGGCAGAAAGTGAAACGTGAAACCGGGGTCTAGACTCAACACTTCAAACCTCAGGCCTCAGTTGGAGGCCAACCGAAACAAGGGTTTCATGCTTTTACCCTCAAACATTTTTGTTACCTTTTGGGCTATTTTTCGTTGCATTACAATCGTCACGATGGACTTTCACCTTGGATTTGACCGATGTGGTGACCTCCTCTAGAGAAGTTTCAGTCTAGAGTCAACCGATCACACCAGCAGACCAAGGGCCACAGAGCCATGATGTGTGAATGAGGCTACCACATGCTCTTCTTCTTCTTCTTCTTCTTCTTCTCTTTGTAAGGAGGGCAAATGATGCAGTGTGTGCTCTCCTTCTCCCCTCAGCTGAGCTCCGGATCCCCCTGTAGCTGTGAGGTCGGCCCGGACGGGACAAAGAAGAAGAAGAAATCCAAGAACCTGTAAGTACAGAAACTCAAAACAGTCACATCACCTTTGAAAACTTGTCATGAGAATCGCATTTTAAACTAAGACAGCGTTAAGTCCTGGTGTTTTGTGAGTGATCTTCAGTCGTTCCCACCCTTCGGTCATTATGTTAAAAAGGTGTTGATACATGTGTCTCAACTGATGGTTATTGATAACGGCTTCTTTTGTATCAGTCCACATGGGGTTACTTTAACAGGCACTAGTGGTAGATGGGGTAAACTGCAGCAGAATTAAAAAAAAAACTTTTTGCAGTAAATAATGTAAGAACACGTGAGAATACGTGTCTGGAACAGTTTATGTCTGATATATATATATATATATATATATATATATATATATATATCACGTTTTATGCTAAGGATGGCAGCAACACTCAAAGCTAATCATCTTACACTCTTCATAATCGACCTAATGAAGTGATAAATGATGTGTGTGCTGTCGCAGAGCGTGGCACCATATGGGTCTCACACTTATACAGCAGTGTGAGAGGTGTGTGTGTGTGTGTTCACATGCGTCGTTTGCTTAGCCGGGTTTGTGTGTGTGTAAGATGTGTGTTGACGCCTCAGTGGTTCATCAGCTGTTGAATGATCTTTATTCACGCCGCACTTCATCCAGATGAAAGTGCGTTTCACACCAGGAGGACAATAAAAGCACAGCGAGGACAATAAAAAAGAAAAAAAAACCCAAACACTCACTGCTGTCCTTGGGTCCGACTTCTGCCCATTTTCAGCACAAGCTGCGTTTAAACAGTAGATTAAGTGATTAAGATTCCACAGTTTTTGCTCAGTGCTGTGAGAAGGCTGCCTTTGTCAGCTGCAGCAAAACACTTTCTTTGCTTCAGAAAATGAAAAGATTCAAGGTTTCAGTTTTGAAAGAAATTGGTGAAAAGATCAGTTTGGAATTTGAATATATATATAAATACATACGTACGTACGTACATACATACATCCGTATATATATATAGATATATATAATTGAAATTTAAATATATATAAATATATACTTATATACATACATCTGTGTATACATATATGTATATATATATAATTGGAACTTAAATGTACTTTATATAAATATATACATACATATGTATGTATGTACGTACAGAATTTAAATATATATAAATATATATTTATATACATACATCTATGTATACATATATGTATATAATATATACATATATGTTAATTATAATTATATATATATAAATATATATAATTGGAATTTAAATATATACATACATACATATATGTATACATATATTACATACATAAATGTATACATATATAATTGGAATTTAAATTTATATAAATATATAACATACATAGCTATATGTATACATCTATATAAATATATACATATATACAAACATACATAGCTATATACATACATATATATACATTTCCAACGAATGCGCACATTTTATTATACCAATAAGACCTTTGACACATTTCTGTCTCTTTAATAGCGTTAACACTGTGTGTGACGTTGTGCCAGGTGCAGCGCCTCTTCATTTGAATGGATTTGTCTGTGGGTTCTGCTGTTTAACTGCCATCTCACAGCCTGGTTATGACTGCGATGAAAGCTGCACGGAAGAAAAGCTTTTGTCTGAGATAAATTGGACTGCTGTCATTGATGCGAACCTCTTCTGTCATCATGACTCCATTTAAAAGAGGAAAACTCATCAACCTCTATCAACATGCTGGAAACAGTTGATGTTTGCTTACTCTTATTTATTTTCCCCCAAATGCTCGTGGTTACTGGCTGTTGTCATGGTGTTGAATAATCCTATCCACTTTATTTCACTGTTCCTCATTGGAAATATTAAAGGCGTAATCTGTCCCATCATATTAAGTCAAACAAACAAAAACAAAATCCTTCTGTGTGTCTCCGTGGGATTCAAATCCAATATGTTGCTGCAACAGATAGAAATCTTGGGCCCTTCCTGATCCTATACAACCAAACATAAAGGAAATGAAATCATTCACTCCATATGTCAGAGACTGATGTGTAACACGTAGGAAGATCTTTGTCGGTGTGGTGAAATCACGTTGCTATTTATAGCTAAAGCAAAGGTAACTGAACTTGGACGGTGTGTTCAGTAGTAGCAAAATATTTAACTTTCTCAGTACTGTTTTGTACTGTTCTAGAGAGGTGGTAAAACAAAACATGTTTTGACCACCAGTCTCCTAATGATAATGATGATAGTACTAGTAGATTCCATAGTCTAGCGGTTAGCACGCTTGCTAACCGAAAGCCGAAAAATAGGTAAAAACACACAGATGTTTCAGTTAAAAAATACATTTTGAAACGCTCATTTTACCAGATCAAATAAAAAAGGTTGTGCTTTTCAACTTCCAACGTACTTTAAGAAAATATGACGCTTGTGTTTTGATTATAGATGATGTTGCTACTGTACTGCTTGCTGACGTGGTTTAGCCCCAAACAGCTAATAGCTAACTGCTTTCTCGTGCATTAATTTTGAAGTAGTGTAAGGAAAGCTAGTGTCAGTGTCTTAGTTATCTTCTCTAAAACAACACTGTTTAAAATAGCATGTAATTTAAACAATTCAAAAATAATTGGTGCTTAGCGCTAGCTAGCTAGCTTATTAGCAGCTATCAGGAAAATAAGAGTTTCTCGAATGCTAAAGACAGGCTATGAGACCTGTTTCCTTCTCAGTCAGGTATCATACAATACTCCCGCGCTTCCTTCTCTCTTTCATCACGTCATCTCTGCCTCTCATCTCCATTGTACGCAGTTTTCTGCCTGTTCTGCTGCATCCGAACATCTGTTTTTCCTGGGATTGTCCCCCAGTGTCTCTTCTCTCCCCCTCCATTACCAGCCTTTGTTTTTACTTAGTCCAGGTGTTCCTTTTCCGCACGCAGTCACTCCCAGCAAGGCTCCACTTGCCTTCTCTCCCTCTCAAGTAGCAATAAAGCAATAAACCCAACCAAACCATTAGCTTAACGGGAGCTTCGTGATACGACACAGAAAGTTTGTAAAACATAATGATGGTTTTTAGAGATGTGGATTATCTCATGTTATTTATCATAGATGTGGTGCATCTTTGATGCTGTGCAGAGTTGGTTGAGGTAAATATTGTTATGAATATTATTATTATGAAGCCGACTTTTTTCTTTAAAACGAAAATCAAGACATTTTCCGTTAACAGCTAAATCACATTAATTTGATTTTGGAAAATGTCACCACCATCCAATGAAAAACCACCACCCTATTTAGATATTAGGGATGACTTTATACAACTTTTTTATGTCCTATACTGATGTGAACCTTCTTTTCTCCTCCAGCATGGGGCGGGCTGCCATTGCTGAGCCGATAGTATATTTTTGCAGCATGTCTTGCAAAGTTAAGGTCAATGTTTTGGCTTAGGTATCGGATCAGACGGGTCGTTTGGGCTTAGGTATCGGATCAGACGGGTCATAGTTGCTTTTTTTTCGATGTTCAGTCCTGACATTTCTGATGTTTTCCTGATGGATCTTGAGTATCGGATCGAACTATCCCTAGGTATACCATAATATATGGTACACATATAAAGCTGACGGTTCTTATAACGTTGTGGCGCTGCATATCATTTGTGACATCATTACAGTCTCCAACTGTTGTTGCTTAAAACGGCCAATACAGTTCTACTTTCCTTGCCCAGAAAACTGCAAAGCTGGTTCTGCCTTACTGAAAGGAGTCTTTCCCCTCTTGAAACTGTGTAGTGATTGGGCGAGCCCAGGGTCCGCCTTCCCCAGACCCCCAGGACTATATAATGCTCCACAGAGCAGCTCAGGGGTTAGAGGAATGTGATTGTTAAACAACCCTTGGGCCTTGAGCAGTGGGACTCTCCTGACACACGTTTACATGCTGTCAACTTTACACACATGCCAAGTGAAAGCGCACACTGGCTGGTACCCATGTTCCACGCTATGGTCGACTTCTCCGAGAAGTACCTGGAAAGGTAAGAGCAGAGCAGAGGGTGGTCGAGGGTGTGTGTGTGTGTGCATGGCTTCGTTTGGGAGTCGGTTTGGTGTGATCGGGAATTAGAAGTGTATCAGTGTGGGAGGGTTAGGAAAAGTGTGACCCGGGGGCGCTGTTTGATGTCCCACGGGGTGAAGCTGCTCTGAAGCTGGTAGGAAGCAATCTGACCTCTACATGCAGCTCATTTGATAGTCACAGTGAGGGAAAAGAATCCCTCATGAGGCCACAGTGCTCCGGCTATTTTAGAGGAAGGAGAGATAATTTCTCACTTGAGGCTGCCCCTCTATCTTATTATACATAGCCTCAATTTCAGGAATAGGATTGCTCATGTGGTTTTGATGGCAAAAAAAGAGAGAGTTTGCTCAGAAATAAAGCGCCTGTCGCTCTTGATGGAGGGAGACTATGAATGTGCTGGTGGTATATTAATGGACAAGATATAGGACACTTCCCCTTGTCGTTGTTCTTGGAAGATTGATATTGCTTTTTCATTTATAGATGTACAGAAAAAGCACTGCTTCCACTCTCTTGTTGTGCTGCTTCATCTGTCAAGACTGCCAGGAAAATCAGGATTCTTTCTGTGTTCCCAAAAGTGTGAACGCTGTTCAGAGTGTTGGAGACACGCCGTCACAACCCTTGACCTTTTACACCAACACAGACACCAGTGCACAAACTGCCTCGGACACTGCGCGGCGTTATTTGTGCGTTGCGTTCTCTATTGACTTTACAGGCTTCTGTAAACACAGCAGCAGCAGCAGGGATGAAAACACGCTGCAACGTTTTCACTGCCACCGTCTGGATTTCAATCCCTCCTCTGTGCACACAGCTCACTTAACTGTGGGACGCAGGGATGAAAACACCAAATGGAAAAAAAATCTTCATTATATCCTGTAAAATGACAGCGGGACTTTCTGCTCCGTGTGACTTTCGTACCGATTTTAAAAAAAATCTTCATTATATCCTGTAAAATGACAGCGGGACTTTCTGCTCCGTG